GCATTAATCATACCTGTTCTGCCTTGAGCACCTGCCGCTGTTGCTGTTGGGCTAGGCTGTTCCCCTCACGGTGCTGGCCACCGGTTTGTGGGATAAGAATTAGCCAAGTAGAATAGGGAAGCAAAGTCCATCAAACCCAATAACCAAAGACTTTGACTTACGAATGGAATATTCCATACTTGGAGACACATAACTTTGTTCCTGACCTAATAGGCTGTTTTCATTGTCTTTACCTGAGCACCAATATTAAGTACAAACTATGGATGAAACTTCAGCCGCTGGTTAACTACCAGAGGTTTGTATTTTTTTTTTTTAAGAATTAGTCATTTTGCCCTGGCTGGTGTAGCTCAGTGGATTGAGCATGGGCCTGTGAAGCAAAGGGTCACCGGTTCGATTCCCAGTCAGGGCACATGCCTAGGTTGCAGGCCAGGTCCCTAGTAGGGGACACATGAGAGGTAACCACACATTGATGTTTCTCTCCCACTCTTTCTCCTTCCCTTGCCCTCTCTCTAAAAATAAATAAATAAAATATATTTTTTAAAAAAGAATTAGTAATTTTAAGGTAACTTTCAGAAGCTGGGAAAGAGTATACGTTTCCCCCATATATTTGTTCCCTATTAAGTTGTCCAAAATGGGTTTCAAATAACTAAAACTGAGGTGTGACCAGATAATTGCTAACATGTGTTGATGAGTTCATCACATGGCAGGCATTGTCTAATATGTTTTAATCTTATTTAATTCTTAGAACATCTCTATGTAGTATATGTTATTGTTCCCATTTTAAAGATGAGAAAACTGAAGCTTAGATTAAAATAACTTACTTGAGGTCACATAGTGGGTCACAGTGACTCTTGATTTGACCCCAAGCAATTTAACTACAGAACCCCAGCTCTTAATCACTATTCTGGGCAAATGAGCAATGTCTACAAAATTAAGCTGAAAGAGAGAAAACGTCCTCTTCTAAAAATGAAAAATATGATTTAATCATTCATAGGCCATGGGTAGGACCAAGTAAGATATGTAAGATACTTAGTGCCTGGCTCCCTAGTGTCTTGGAAAAGATGTTAGGTGTCATGACTGTCGTTACTATCTTTTAGGTGAAGTTCACGTGTTCTGTATGCTTTGGCTTGCCTTATTTTCCCAGGGGGCTTGGGGCTTGCCCCCTGGGAAGGTGGTGTTCTGCCTTTGGTGAATAAGCACAGTAATTGCAAGCCTGGGAGCCAAACCCGGGTGGCACTTTGAAGATGGGATTACAGCACTGGCATGTAGCTGCCAAGTACCCAGCAGAGCTGGGATCTCAGCGTTTGGCGGATTTTCTACTCCAGCATTTTCTCTGAAAGCAAGATTTTCCCAGTGATGTATTTTATGAACATGTCAAAATGCCACATGTTTCCTGTGCTTTTCTGATAGGTAAAACATTTAGAGTCTGTGCTCTGTCACTTTTAAATGCTAAATATTTTGGTGAAAAAAAAAAAAGAATGCACCTCACCTCTTATTTCAGAGTACCCTGCAGGTTTATAGTTGCAGAAATTATGACTTCCTTTGCTTCTGTGTGTGCAGAGAGCTCAAGGCCAGGGTGTGACCTGGCCTTTGGTATTTAAAGGATGCCATGCAGTCAGTTTCCTCACTGGCTTGGAAAACAACTGCTCAGTGGTTATTATGGATGGATTGTGTGTGTGTTCCCTTAACTTTGTATGTGGAAGTATTAACGCCGAATGTGATGGTATTTGGAGATGGGGATATTGGGAAGTAATTAGAATTAGACAACATTGTGATGATGGGGCCCTCATGATAGGATTGGTGTCTTTGATTTTTTTAAATGTGTTATTTATTTAGTTTTAGAAAAAGAGGAAGGGAGGGAGGAAGAGAGGGAGAGACACATTGATGTGCAAAAGATACTTCAATTGGATGCCTCTCACACGCTCCTCCCTAACTGGGGACCTGGCCCAAAACCCAGGCATGTGCCCTGACTGAGAATCAAATCAGTGACCTTTCAGTTCACAGGCTGGCGCTCAGTCCACTGAGCCACACCAGCCAGCGCAGGATTAGTGTCTTTATTAGAAGTGACACCAAAAAGCCTCGTGGGCATGGGGGACAATAGAACTGGAATGGTTTCCAGCAAGCACAGCCATAACCCTAGGGTCACAGGCTTTCATTTATTTTATTTTTTTTGAGGTTAGTAAGGGAGTGGAGAGAGGCTGGAAAGAGGCTGAGTATGAGCCTAGAAACATCAGTACCATCCTGCCTCAAAGATCAAAAGGAAGATGGAAGGTGATAACCAGACCTACATTTTTGACGTTTTTCAGTGAGCTCATCCTAATTAAATGACAAAGTTTTGCCTCAGGAATGTTGTTTTTTATTCAGGAAAAATCTGGTATAAACACAGATTAAAAACAGGATAATGGGAATAGTCTACTGTATTTTAAAAAATGAACTTCCCTGTTTGGGGCACGTTTATCTGAATGCTAATAGGATTTGACTTGGCTCCTTAGCAGAAGGTTTGAGTTCCTCAGCATCACTTCAGCCCAAATTGTTAAGGGTAATAGTGTCAGGGCCTTTTGATCTTGCTGACTAACCTGGAACTTGGCTAACCTGATTATATGACTCTGCCAGAAACTGGGTTTAGGTCTGTTAATAAAGCATAATAAATTCAAATGAAGCTTCCTTGGGTCTTCTGTCCCAGAACTGTTGTATTTTATTATTTGAAAACGAGGCTCCCTGTTTGCATACTGAAAAAGTTCAAGTGCTTAATTTATTTTGATTTTCACAATTAATCTCCATGTTGCTTTTTCCCACTTAAGAAATGAAACCCTGTGGTACTACAACCATGGATAATTCAGCCATCCATTCGGATAATGGCTATTATATGCCGGACACGTCACAGGTCACGTGCAAGGTACTAGGGATACTGTGTGAAACATGAAAGGCAAGGCCTCAACTCTGTGAGATAGAAGGCCATCTGTGATTCATTCAACCTATTTTTCAACTTTGACCTTGATCAGTCTTCTCATGTTGCTGGGGGCAGGACAGAGAATGTGAGGCAGCTCGGCAGATGAGACACCATTTGAAGGAGACAAAGGACTGGGGTTGTGCAGTCTGTGTTGACGGAAAGCAAAACCACCCTTGCAATGCAGTAGACAGGCTTTCATATTGAAATAATCTTTGAGCATTTGCAAACGGAACGACAGACCTGTCTGCACTGAGGCAGAAACACGGCACCCGCGCTGTGTGGCACTGTACAAGAAGAATGCCGGGTCAGACTGGAGATGATCAGCAGAGCCTGAACAGGGAAGGGGCACCAGCTGAAGTGGTCCCAGACCAGGCAGTTTCCAAATCAAATGGATTCAGTTCACCAGTACCCAGTAAGGAGAGATTGGAAATTTATATCGGAACCTACTGTACATAATTTGCAGTTTACTATATATACTTATACTCAGGTAAATTGTATAATAATCTGTGTGTGTTCTCATTTCAGAGTACAAATGAATCATTTTGATGAGTCTGTTTTCTTTTGTCATTGGAAGTCATGTATTAGGGAGTACTTTGTAAAGTATATGACTTTCTAACCACTATGCTCTACACCTGAAACTAATACAAAATAATATGGAATGTAAACTGTAGTTGAAAAATAAAATTTAATGATCTTTCCCCCAAAAGAGCCATGTTTTAAAGACTTACCAAAACGAAAGCTCCGTAGGCAGGGACCACAGCTTCCCGAATTCACCACTACACCCGCAGCACCAAGCCCGGTGACGGTGCCCACGACTTTGCTGTGTTTTCTGGCTGCTCAGACCTTCTGACCTTATGTTTAGAAAGGGTCTCTCCTTACACATCCCACCTCCCCAAGGTGGCAGCCAGAAAACAAGTTTCCCAGCCTCTTCTGCAGCTGAGGGGCATGTGATCCAGGCTCCGCTGTCTGTATCCACAAGGACTTCTGTTGAGTAGCCAGGAACACAAGGAGCAGGCCTTACCCAAAACCTATTTTCCTTTAGTGGAAGTGAGGACTGGAGCATCAGGCTTTCTCCTTCAGAAAGATTTTCCCGAACACTCCCTGCCCTTCTCCAGGAGGCTGGGTCATATACCTGTTCTCTTGGGCTACATTTTACTTGCACTTTCCCACTGTATTATAATTATTAGCATATTTTATTAGGTTGCAATCTGCTGTAATATTTAAGGTAACGGTAGCTGCTCTCACAAACAAACCAAAATTATACAGTGAATCAAACACAAAAGAAGTTTTCCTTTCATAATTGTATAAAGTCAAAACAGGGTGCCTGGGATCAGCAGACAGCCCTGGTATAGAAGATAAGTCAGGGGTCCTGACATCTTCCATCTGTGGCTTCGCCATCTGCACCGCATGGCTTTCCAGGGCTCCATGCCCATTTGAACAAGGCCTGAAGGCAAAGGGCATGGAGAATCACACACTGGGGGGCTTATGAGCCAGGCCCTGAAGTGGTCCTTATCGCTTCTGTTCACATTCTATCACTCAGAGCTCAGCTGCATGTCTACCCCTCACTGGCAGATATAGTCCAGCTTCCCACAGCTCCTTCCAGGTGAGAGTATATCAACAACAGAAAATTGTGATGAAAGTGTCATATCTTAACTTTCTGTCTTTTCACTTGCTTCTATCTTCCTCAGCTAGAAAAGGAATTACAGTCAGATGCCTCATCATCCGGTGACCCCGTGTAAATCACAGACAGATGTGGCTCTGACCTGGCTTCCCTTTTCTTGGCTCTCCAGTGCTTTTGTGCTAAACATTTCTGTTTGTGGGGGCACATATTCATCAGACAGTTATTTCTGAATGCTTTGCTTAAAACTGCTTTTATCTCTGGGCTCCCCGTGTGTTAATTTGAAAGAGAAAGTGCTTAGCATGCAGCCCAGCACCACATGTGTTCCGACTAGCTGGCACAAGGAAGCATTAGGAGGTTCCAAATCATTGCCTACTGGCCACCCACAGGCTAATGAAGAAAGCATCTTTTTCTTTTCCCTGCTTCTCCTAGGAGCCGTATCAGCAGCCAGGGAGAGCTGGGAATACGACTCGGGTGCCAGGGACCTCCACAGCCCAGACCTTCAGAGTCAGTCGGCCCTACAGAAGCTTCTCGAGTATGGCGGAAGCTCGTCCCACCAGCAGGCTGCTGCCCTCCACAAACTGCTCACACAGGCCCCTCGTTTCAGCAGCTCTGTAGGAGGAAGCTATCTAGAACTGGCCAACACGGTGAGTACATTCCGGTTCACAGAACCCGTCTTCAGGCCTGTGTGTATTTCCAGTGCAAATATTTTAATTTTGAGCTCCAAGGGACATATCGGATATTGTCATTTTTAATTATCTAATAAGCATTGTACCGGTTCCATCATTGCCAATAATGTTAAATGCTCCATGCACTTAAGGTTGGTGACCTTACTCTTTATTAAGAAAGAGCAGAATGGACTCCTAAAGTGTTTTTGGTCTCTAACTTAAACTTAATTACTGGAATATCAATAATAGCTTTTCCACAACTAGAATACTTCTATGTTATCAGACATTACAATACAAATTAATAGTACATAATCCTTTCTGTTCTCTAATTTGGACTTTTCTCATTGGAAAACCAAAGAGGACAGTAGGTTTGATTTTGCTCCTGCTTGTACTTTTAAAATATTTTCTGTTGAAAACTATGGCACAACGTAGAATGTAATTTTGCTTAGTTTAACCTTCCCTTTTCCTTTAGGATGAACCATGACCACAGGACCCCTGGGTGAAAAGCCGTGGTGTTCCCTTCTGAGTTAGCTCTGTGGAATGAGGGTGGGTGGCTGATGGCCTGGGCTGTTTTGGCTGACGTGCAGTCAGTTTAGAAACTGAGATTGCTGTCCAGTCATTGTGGGGAAGGTCCATAAACCCACCTTGCTGCTTGACATTGAAGTTTGAATGGTGGAATAAATTTCTTAACAACTTCACTTATGTGTATTTACAGTCTGTTTTGATGTAGAACAGTGGTTCTCAGATGTTTTGTGTTTGAGGAACATTTTCTAATGCAGACATTTTTGGGTCATGTCTGAAGGAATTAACAATTCCATATAAGCCAATAATAATTAAAATAAATCATTAGACAAATCCCGATTGAAGAACATTCTATAAAATACCTGACCAGCACTTTTTGAAACTGGCAAGGACATCAAGAGCAAGAAAAGTCTAAGAAAGAGAAACTGGTGCAGCTAAGGGGAGCCTTGGAAGGCATGACAGCTAATGCACTGTGGTCCCTGAATGGGACGTTAGGTACAAACTAAGGAAATGGAGACCCTAATAAAGTTTGGACTTTAGTTAATAATGTGTCTACGTTGGTTCATTAACTGTGATAACTACACCATAATAATGTAAGATGTTAATAATAGGGGAGACTAGGTATGAGGTATATGAGAATTCTCTGTCCTATTTTTGCAACTTTTCTGTAAATCTAACACTATTATAAAATTTAAAGTGTATTAAAAAACACACACACACACAAGTACTACTAGGGTATGCCTATGTCTCATGTAATCTGTAAAAGGACCCATACTTATTGCACTGTCTGTCACTGGGTCACCCTTGAGGGACATTCTTGCACAGTTTAAGTAGAACCATTACCTATCCTAACCTTGCCTTGCTCAGGACATTAGGCATCAGTAAATATGTCATCTTTCTCAGGCTTGGGCTTGGACTTCGGCTGTGCTGTTACACATGATTTGCAGCAAGTTTCCTCTGTGCTAGATCAGCTCAGCCTTTTTCAAAACGAACATGCAAGATCTGTGTGGGTTATCCATCAAGTTTATTTTGATCAAAGTTGACATTCATCAAAACACATTGATCAAAATTAGTTGCACCTGCTGTGACAGATTCAGGTTTCATGCGCACAAGTTTTATGCAGCAAACCAACTGTTGAAAACTGTTGGCTATTTCCTACCTCTGGGTGGCTCTTAGCCTTTTTCAGTAACCTCTTGGGTTTCATTCTGTTCGTCCCCCTCTCCTGGTCAGAGGCAGCTCACACCCTTCCTCCCAGAGCCAGATTCTCTCTGTGTGTCACTGGTGAAGCTTTGAGCCCGACGTGACTGCCTGAGATGACCTCTGTGAAAGTGAGCATAAGAAACACTCCTTTAAATGGCAAGCGCCCAGCTCGGGCAGGAGTGTGCACATTACTAAAATTCATGAACTACACACTTAGAGTTTGCACACTTTTCTGTATATATGTCTATAAAAGCTATGACAAGCACATCGTCGATGATGGTGGCTGTTCATTGGACTACAATGAATAAGCTAAAAAAATAGCTGTAACTCCACAAAGAAATAAAGATTGTTGTATGTATTCACTTAAGATGGTCCCTTGGTGAGAACAAGCCCATAAGTGCACATACAGGCATTGAAGTCCTGTCATGGCAAGTATCATATTTATTTTCTCACTGAACTGAAAAAAATGTAAATACTATTTACACATGTAGACCCTCGATAACGTTTTGGACCCCGTGGGAGAGTGCATTGTGAGCCCCACCTCTTCACCCTTCCGGTATTTTCATCATTTGTCACATGACTGATGTCTGAGTCCCCCTGTCAAATGTGAGAAGTAGTAAATGACCGTCATTTTATCCATTGTGCTTAGGGTGGTTTGTTTCATAGCAACAGCTGATGCAGGGTCTGCTCATAGGGGCCCATGGAGCCTGGTCTGAGAAATATATTCCTTATCAGTGGCCAAAGAAAGCAAATACACTCTCTAGACTGCACACTTGGGCAATGCCTTCCCTTACATACTCACATGAAAAATAATTTATGTTCCCTCTAAACCAAATGCTAAACTAATAAAATTAAGTTCTGTTCTTTTTTTTTTAACTTTTAAAAGCAAAAGCCATTTTATCAGTGCCTAGTTTAGAGACAGAACACACACAGTAAATCACACAGGAAAAGTTTAACATAAAATTTTATTAACTAGTAGCAGGGGGTCACCTATTGAGAAGTAAAGAAAACTCTAATGAATACAGGAGCAGCAAATGTAAAAGCAACCACTCCCTCTAATGCAGAGTCACAGTGCCCAAGGAAGAAAGAGATGTAGAAGAGGACCCTCTACTCACCAGACCACACGGAAAGGGGCCCACTGGGTGGCAGAGAGGTTCCCTGAGATGCCACAGGCCAGGGCTGGAGAGCAGGAAACCAGGCCTCTGGAATGTCAGCCCAGCTTGCTAGGATTCCACCCACTGGGGAGTCTGCAGGACTCACTGAGCATCACTAAGGAAAGTGCCCACCAAGGTGCCTGAGGAATTCCCTGGGAAGCTGCCTGTTGCAGCGGTGGCAAAACTCATTGACAGGTCTCCCAAATGGTGCCACCAAAAATCCCTGGGGGTGAGCACCACTGGATGTCCTGGACTGATGGCTTCCACCCACCACAGGAGCAAGCTGGCCAGCACAACAGAAAATTGTGGTACATATACACAATGGAATTCTATGCAGCAGAGAGAAAGGAGCTACTACCCTTTGCAACAACATGGATGGAACTGGAGAGCATTATGCTGAGTGAAATAGGCCAGGTGTTGAAAGACAAATATCATATGATCTCACCTTTAACAGGAAGCTAAACAACAAAACAAACAAGCGAGCAGAATAAAAACAAAGACACTGAAATAGAGAACAAGGGGACAGTGACCAGAGGGGAGAGGGAAGGGAATTTAAGGGGAAAAAAGGGGAGGGATTTGGAGGAACAAGTATGAAGGACACAGGGACAAGAACTAAGGAGGGTGGAAATGGGAGGGTGGTGGGGAGCACGGGGTGGGGTGGGCTGGGGTGGGAGAAATAGACAGAAAACTGTGCTTGAAAAATAACTAAATAAAAATTTTTTAAAAAGAACAGGGAAGAGAATTCCCTTCTCCTGCAGTGTCCCTCCAGTGCCCCCAGTGGACAAAGGGAAAATGTTTACAGAGTCCATCTTCAGTTTCATAATCAGAGCATGCAAAGGCAGATTTGGAGATAAGAGGCAATAAATTTATAACTGGCACAAGCATTTTTAGAATTGAGAAGTTTCTGGGAGCTTCCTACACAAGCTTTTACCATTCTAAGCATCTCCTCCTTCTACTGCTAAATACTTGCTTCTTCTCCTTCCAAAGACAGTAGATATTATGGCTTTGGGGCTTGACATATAGTTCAAAATACAAAGGCAACAAGATGATATATGTAGAAGCTTTGTAGCAATCAGAGTTGTATCTGAGAAGCTGAATGGCTACACATGTATAGAGGAAAGGGTTTATTTTAAGGGATAGATCTTAGCCAAACGTGGAAGCTGGTAGAGCAATCTTATTCAGGCTATTGATTCTGCATCTAGTATTGAGCCAGAAGTTACTGTAAGTCTAGCAGATGAGCAGATAAGAAGGAAGGCTAGATGTAGGGGAGACACATTGAGATCAAGGAGAACAAACTGGAACCTGTTTCTGTCCCTCACCATGTCCACCCTTGATGCTATGGGTGACCTGTAGGAGAAGCTGGCACCCATTGCTATAGAGCTGTACACATACCTGGCCCAGGACTCAGAGGAGCTGAAGGGGGAGACCAGGGGAGAGTTGGAGCAAGCCTGGTTTACCACATAAGTGAGTGGCAGATGAGCAACAAGTTTCAGAGCATAAAAAAATATGACTTCTTCCTTTCTACCTTCTGAATTTCATATAGACTGTTTCTCATGACCATACAGGACCATGCAGGGAGGAGAACTTGGGAGCCTAGTTCCAGCTTTGCTAGGCTGACACAGTGCCAAGCTGCCCCAGGCAGTGGCAAAACTTCCAGTATAAGCTGAGCCTTATTCATAAAGCTATGAGCAAAGCAACGAGAGACATTTTAGGTCGACGAAGAAGAGATTCAATGAGAAAGATATATACCCTGTTCTCTGATAGATTTTCTCCCCTAAGATCTATATTTCGGCAAAGAGTGCAAGAGGAAATTATAATGTTATCGAATCTGAGTAGTGACATATTTAAGTATTATAAAATATAAAACATAACCAAATTTTATTTTCTAGCTACCACACTGACAAATTGCTGAACAAAATGTCATTTCTTGATAGATCCCTTCTGCGATGCTACTTGTTTTTTAAAAATATTCATTATCAACCTTTAAAAATTTTTAAAAGATTTTATTTATTTATTTTTAGAAAGAAGGGGAGGGAGAAAGAGAAGGAGAGAAACATCAGTGTGTGGTTGCCTCTCATGAGCCCCCAGCTGGGGACCTGGCCT